TCTTTCTTTCTTTCTTTCTTTCTTTCTTTCTTTCTTTCTTTCTTTCTTTCTTTCTTTCTTTCTTTCTTTCTTTCTTTCTTTCTTTCTTTCTTTCTCTTTTAATATGTTGAATATTGGTAAACCAACACCCACTAATGAGCTCCAAATACTGATCTTTGCAAGCCCCCCTTCTTGGATTGCATCAAAGAAAAGATCACTGCTTGAAAAAAAATCGGTCAATATCAAAAGGCCACCTTCACAGATTCCTTCCAGCAGTTCAAAGCTCTTTGATGAAGACACTAGCAATTTTAATTCTAGATAGATTTGGATGCTTCTCTGAAATGCCCAAGACATCTCAATCTATAAACTCCCCTAGAAATACACCACAGATTAGCATTTACATGGTATATAGGCACTTCTGATTTTACACCTATGTCACATCTAAATAACAGAAAAAGAAGGGAGTTGAAACCAGTGAAAAACACTGGGATTCTGAGTCAACATATAGTTCTTTGATCTGAACTATTTTGATAGATTCACTGTTGCTTTCTTTCTACAGCACTGGTCAGCCCACAGCAACACCTTGCTATTCACAGTGACAGTAAAGTTTCCCGGGAGCACAGCTCTAAGGCTTAGCACAGCTATGCTGTGAGATGTAAATGGAAACCAAAGGCTCCAATAAAGCTCTGCTTCCACTGAGAACCCGGCTAAACCCTTTACTCAACCACCATCCAAACCCTTCTCTTGTCTCTAAGGGAATCCTATAAGCCCTAGAAGTGCCTCTTTGGCCATGCTGAAGGAGACTCAAACCTGGATCTGACATTGCTGGCAGATAAACTGAGAATGTTAAAAATAGCAGCACGCAGTTCTTCTTGGTTGGGGCTGGCACAGACCAAGCTTCCTTTCATCCTGCCATCTTCTGTCACTTTTTTTTTTTTCCTTCTGCTGGAGAATATGCAATTCCTTGCAAGCTTTTGGCCCCTGCCCAGCAAGCATAACAGGCTGAGATACCACAAAGGTGCCGGAGGTCTGCCCTTCCTTATCTGCGTTACCCACATAACTAACCACACAGGTTCCTGAAGTCTGTATCTAGTACCAAATCTTTGCCCGTCTGAAAGGCTGCAAGGTCTTTTCCTCAGTTTGCCATCATAAAAATCTTTTATTACCTTGGAAAACTTCTCCTGCCCAGGAAAATCACATAGTGAGCAGCTGCTACGAACACTTGTCATCTCACTTCAACTAGCATTCAGTCCTCAGGAAGGGCTGCCACCATCACACCTTAAATCTCATTGCTGTGACTTTCTTAAATAGCTAATGCCTCTCATTGCCACCTTGGTCTCTAATGCAGCTCTTGCAGGTGGGATAGGAAATGCTTCTTAGTCTCACTCTCTGTCCATTTTCATTTCACCAAGTTTTCTACAAAGCTGTTCTAATTTCCAGTTCCTAGCTACGAATGGATGGACTCAGCACTCAGAGATGACCTGAGTAGCGACGCAAAGAACAGACATTGACATGAGGAACAAATACCTAAAGAAAGCAGACTCTCTCCACCATGAAATGACATGAGGGCAGATATTTTCCTTCTGGGTTGCTGGTCACTCCGGAGATGACATATAGATGGTACCTTTGCAACTCCATGTTCTGTGTTGCACATGTGCTTGTTGCAACATGCACAGACAAAAACCCAAAGAGTTTTGTAGTGGCTGCTAAACTTTTCTGCTTCTCAGTCAAACTCTGTGATCCTACTGGCACTAGATGGCTCTAGGAAGTGGTGGTTCTGGAAGTATATGACTAACCTTACTGTCCGTTGTTGGCGACTCTTTCTCCTTCTCTGCGTGCTGCAGTTTTCTGTTCAGGTCTTGGAACATGTCTTGGTGACGTTTTCTTGTGTGCATGATTTTCTGAAGTAAACACAAGAGCCATAGGTCAGCAATTCCTTTCCAGCTACACAGAATCAACACCTCCCACCCTCACAAAAAAATCATATTTTCCTACAGCTTAACTCTGTCGCCCTGCATGTACAGCCAGCTTCATAGGTCACTGAGAACTCAGCATAACACTTCCTCGAGTTTGAGTTTCAGGATGATGTGGAAGGAGAAAGTGGGACAAATCTGATTTTTGGTCTATAACTTAGATCTGCAGCTGAAAACTGCATTATGGTCTACCAGGCTGACCCTGGAAACTTTGCTCAGTTTCCCTAAAAGATACTTGACACCACGATCACTCTCTTTGAAGACTGCCTCCCTTGCAAATGCGTTCAGAGTTTATCTGGGCATGTAGAACTTTGGGACAAGAAGCTCTGTCAGAAACTATCCCACAAACTACTGCATAATTTCATTTTCTTGTATTTTGGCTCTTCTATGTTTCACCTCTATCCTCTACTGTCCACAAGGAGAGACAGGACCAATTTTTATATGGACTTCCATTTGTACGTAGGAGCAAGGTATAGACCGTTTATTTGTACTCTACCAAGAACTATGAAACTGAAGAAGGTGGCTCTCATGTTTTGGGACCAACACAAAATACCAGCTTAGATGTACCCAGAGTACCTCAGTTTCTGACCAAGCTCACAACCTTGAGCTCGGAAGCTAGCCTATTGACCTTAGCATTAAGGTAATTCCCTGTGGGCTTTAATGTGACTCCTTGTTTTGGACTAAGACAGCAGCCTTGAAGGGAAAAGCAGTCAAGTAAGCTATTAAACTCAGGAGAGCTGCACTAGCTGCCAGTAGCCCCACGGCCTCTCTGTGTGGATTGGCCCTTCTCTTTCAAAACTTTCCACTCTGCATCTCAGCTGTGAGGACAGACATTTCTTGATGTGTACAGATAGTTCTTTCTCTTGAGCAGATTATATGAGGGTCATTACTGGGTGTGAGTGACTAGGGTTAATGTAGGGTTTTGATGGTGAGGACACATGAGAAGCCTTTAAAAAAACAAAACAAAACAAAACGAGAATATGTGCATAAAAGATAAGGCATTTTAGTCCTCCAAGTAAATGGTATATTGTGCTTCCCAGGCAGGAATGGAGTCCAGCTATTGTAGTACTCTCTCAGCTCATAAACATTTTGCTCACAGAGGAGACTGTTTACAGGTCCTGTGAAAACCAATTTAGGTCAAATATTTACAGAGCAGCTACTGCTTAATCAATTAAGCAAGAATCGCTGTAAATCACCCATTTATTTAGCCATTCCAGGGAACTCTTACTAGGTAGCCTGCACAACTCTTTCCACCCACCATTTCATACCCTGAAGTAGCTCTTCCCTGCAAAGATGTTAGAGAGAAAAGAAAGGAAAATGTCTCTTTCTCACTCTGCCCTCCAGTAAACACATTTGTTGAAAAAAGAAATACTCACCTCAAAATCTAGCTCTGCATACCGAGATTTCCGCCTCTGGAGATTCAAAAGAAAAAGAGAGATGGTTGAATATTAGTGATGCTGGTGGCTGTGCAGAAACTGAACCACACAGTAGACAGAACAGAAAGGGTCTCTCTACCATTCCTTCTTCCTGAACCTTTAACATGTCTCTCTGGCTTTTCCTTATGGAAAGGACAAACAATTTGGACCTCATGTATTACCATGGGGTGAAGCTGGAAATGGCTATTAATGAGGAAGAACATCAAGCCCCAGGGAGGGCTGGGCATGGGTGCAGATAAGCACAGGACTTTGATTCAAGTCCCTGTCTTAATATGAGCTTGTAAATGATCACAGAATGGGCAGAAAAAAAGAATCCAAGCTAGAATCTTGAGAAAGCACAAAAACTAATACTTGAGAAAGTGCAAAAACTAATATGGACATTAGTGTAAGTTCTACAGCCGGGAGAGAAGTGCTAAGATATGTAGTAAGCTATCATAAATCAGAAGAAGAAGACTGCATTTATGCAAAACATCTGAAATCTCTTTGATGCTGAGAGTTGTGGGGCTTGCTTTAAGGGCATTTAGATCTGTGACCATTGGGATTTTCTCATTTGCATTATGACTAAAATCATCAAAATGTGAAACAGAGGCAGAAGATGGAAGGAGAGAAGGTAATGCTAGCCATGCATTAAAATCGAGAAGTGTTTGACAAGCTAAAACTTTTATTTTGACTTTGCATTGCCTGTAGAGCTAAAGAGAGCTCACCAAGGAATGAAATATGGCTGTGGAAACCATGAGAGATCTTAATTATATTATAAAAATTATATTCTAAAAAATAGAAAATCATGTCATCCGCCAGGGTCCACTCATGATATTCTAGTATGGACACTGCAAAGTAGGCTGCATTTAGCCTAAGGCTCTTCTCCTATCTGGTATAGCCCATGTGGAACATCATCCAGGGCTGAGAACAAGGCAGTAATTCACATGCTCACCTCCAAAGAGCTCATGGAGAGGGTGGAGACAGTCTCGCTCTTGGACACTACACCTGAGTTCCCTGAGTCACCCATGTCACACAAGCTGTTGGGAATCTGTGTCTCGTTGGAGATGTTTGGTGGAGGCAGCTGCTGCTGCTGTTGTATCATGGAGGAACCTTGCACCTCACTGCATGTCATGGTTACGGGCTCTCGAGGGGGACTCTTGACAACAAAGCCGGGGTCAGTCGCCATACTGAGGTGGATGAGCCGTGTCTGGGGCATCTGGTCAATATTGATGCTGTATTTGCTCTCATCCTTGGGTGGTTTGGCCCGTAAAGTAGATGTGTTGGTAGGCAGAATTACGTAGCTGGTGTCCAGTGTTTGCTCTTGTGCCCGGGAGAGTTCTGAATCCAGCTTCTTGAAGATGTCCCCATCGCAGATGTAAATAGACTTGGGTGGCTGGTTCTTGTCCTTCTTCAAGGTCAGTGTGTGATTGCTGAATTCATTCAGGTTGATGGCCCCTAGGTAGTGAGGTGAGCCCTGAAGATGCATTTTGGAGACATTGGCTGGAAGACTGTTGAAGTTTGATGACCCCTTCTGGTGATTGAGTTTCAATTTCTCTTCATCCTGCAGTGATGGACGCTTCAGTGTTCCTGTGATGGTTGAGGTCCTGCAGGTGGTGATGTCTTTATTCAGCACTAAGGGGACAGACATGTATCATTAGCACCTAATTTAAGCTGTTATTAACACAACAGTACACCCACACCACAGTCACAAGGTGTTAGCATGTTCCTTTGGCCCTCTCAGACAGAGGTAGTGGTGTCAAAAAAGTATTTTATATTGGATTTTTAATCCAGGTTGATAAAGAGAAAGCTAAAACTAGGGAAGTAACAACTTTCCCATTTTGAGAGAATTCTCAGTGCTTCAAGATTTCTATTTGAAATCATAATTAAATCATTAAAACTCCAAATTTGACTGACTGATATTATCACACCGATAAAAAGATCTTGAAATGATGTATGCCTGTATATGTATTTAGTACACAGTGTGTGAATGCATTGTGAATACATATACATAYACACACACACACACACATATATATTTATATAAAATGCCTAGAAATGGTGAGCAGGATTTGATTCAGCTTGCAGCATTAACTACAATTACAAAATGCCAGTGCCTTTTTTTTTTTTTTTTTTCTTTTTCACTGAACTACTTCAGGTTGATCTTTTCCCAGAGTTTCCAGGTCAATGAATTGGTATTTCGAGACAAAAGCGTATTTTTTAATGAGTTTCTAATTAGTGCTCCCAAAAACTTATGTTCCAGTAATCATGGCAAGCCTTTTTAAGAGTTAATTATTTGCTGCTTCTCAATTTGCCTTGAGGATAAAAACAGAGTTCCATGAACATGCCTTAATAGCAGAAGAAATCCTTAATCTGAGCATCGGGTGAACATGTCAACTAGGAGGTATACACAAGACACAAAGAAGCTCATTCCCACACAATACCATCCACTACAAAACATCCATTTCTAGGTATAAAAATTTATTGTTCCATTGGTTTCTGGCTGCAGCCAAGACTTTACAGGACTAATGACATAGGCCTTGGTGTCTTCAGGGACCAAATCCTACTTACCCAGCATTTCAGCATGAGAAATAAATGCATCTTCCCCCTCACTCTCCACAGAAGAAAACACAAAGGTTCTTTTTACTTCTTTTTTTTTTTTTTTTTTTTCCAATGGAGCCTGAGAATAACCTGACATGATCCAGCTGCTCTACCTGTGATGGAGGCAGATATCTCACTGGACTGAGGGCACTGCTGTCTTCCTGGTAATTCATACCAGGAGGGATGGTGGTGGAAGAACAAAGATGCCATCAAAAACCATGGAGAAAACAAGGCATAATTACAGGGAAAACAAATGAAATAAATCATCTTTCAAAATCTCTAAAAGCTAAACATATTGGGTGCAACTATGGCATCCATAGTTATCCTGACATTGCTAGAAGACGTGCCAGGATAAATCAGAGCATTACAATGTACTCCTACTATAGACTGCAGGGAGATGCTAGCGAACTCTAACCCTTAGCTTGGCATTGACTGTGAAGTTTATTGATTCAGGCTCTTCTCCATATTCATGTCAGCTGCATCAAGTAGGTTTGGAGACAGAGTAGTCCTTGGAGAGCACCTTGGAGACCAAAGAATGGTCTCCAAATCAGTGTTGGTTATTAATAAACTGTCTCAAGATAGTGGCACTGAATGATAGAACTTTTTCAAAGGTAGCTTATCTCTTCAGGCAGATGAAAGATACAAATAAATTATATAATGGATGCTGGCAAAGGAAGGGAAGCCTAGGCTGTTAGCAAGGTGCTCATCCAGGGTCATCTGCCCTGAAGACACATGAAAGCAAGCAACTCCTTCCTTTCCCCTGGGAAGCTTGAGTTAGGAGCAAGAAACTTCGTAGCAGACCCAGAATGGTTCCTGTATTGCAGGACTCTTGATATCTGTCTTGGTTTTCAGGGCTTGTGCTCCCCAGTACTACAAACTGGACTGCTGCGGTGTGTGCAGCTGGTTTTCTTCCCCAAAAACCAGCCTGGGTGCATGTTTGCTGAGTATATGGTGAAGAGAGACCTGGTCTCATGTGCAGGTTTTTTTTTTTTTTTTTTTTTGGAAGCCAGTTCTTCAATGTCAAAAATGAAGGAGAGAGACAAATGAGAAGAGGAAGACAGCTAGAAATACAATTAGAGAGTGTGAGGCAGAGAAACAGAAAAAAAAATGGAGAGACCCTCAAAAGAGATAAATGTTCAGAAAGAGACCATGAAATAAGATATCATATGGGTAAATGAGATAAATATACTGTGACTCTGATAGACATAGAGAGAGGGAGTGAGGCACAGAAAAAGACAGAAAACGATAAATAAGATATAGATAGATATTAGATAGATAAATGATAGTGACAGTGATGGACAATACACAGGAACACAGTGACAGAGATATATGTTGACAGAGATTGCAATACATAAATAACAGGTACAGCAGGACAGACGGTTGAGGACAGAGATAAATAAGTGATTGCTAGGTAGGAAAAAAACAGATAAATTAAACATATTAGAAACAGATAAATAAATGATAGATTCGAGGAAGAAAAAGATAAATGAAAAGGACAGGTAGCTATATATATAAAAACAGAGAGAAATAAAGGGAGGGAGAGGGCAAAAGGAAGAGAGAAAGGGAAAAAACAGAAAAAAAGAGAGAAAGGAATGAAGAAGGGAAGAAAAATGAAGAAGAAGAGAAAAAACTTTCACATTATACTAACTACACATAAACTATGTACTGTCCTTGACTAGGGAGATCCTGGTTTGGAGGGTGTGAATTATTTGCAAGTGCCAAGCAAGCTGGAATAACTCTTGCTTGCAAGAGGAGAGAAGTCTGGGATGGTAAAATAAAGCCTAGACATCTACAAAGGATAAGATTAATATCAGCCAAGTGATCAGGGGTAGGAGAGGACAAAGCGTACAAAAACAAACAGGCGGCAAAGCAGACTCTGGACAGCACAGATACCCCCAAGGACATGGGAGAAAAGACATTCCTTAGAGAAAGGGACAGTCAGCCGACGCAGATCTTCAGGATCAAAATGAATGTTGTGTGTCATACAACACACAGGAGAAAGGTTCAGGTAAAGAGAGACCTGAGCCACCTCCATAGGTACAGACACTCTACAACTGTACCAAATGTGTTTATGGGATCAGGAGGACCCCATAATTCTTCTTTCTGGAATGGAGGGAAGTTCATCCAGATTCCAGATCTTCTCCAAGACACCTCTCTTGAGTACAGAGTTGTTTGAGGTTAGCCTTGGAAAGGGGCTGCTAAAGCAAAGAAGGATCTCAGTGGGAAGAGATGAAACAGATCTCTTATTCCTGGATACTCTTCTCTGCCACCATGTGAAATGGGCCACACATAAGAAATAAGACCTCGGAGGCAAGGCTTCATCTTAGCTGAAAAGCCAAGAAAGCTATGGGGAAAGACAGTAAGCAAAGCACAAGGTAGAACTAGACGGGTTGTTTCATTTTAGGCAAGGCTGAGAGTAAGGGCTATGTACATGCAAGCCACTAAAACACACAGAAATAAAACAGGAAGGAAAAAAATGGCCTAGTTCAATCCCCAAACCAGGTCACTTGCTGATTCTCACCTGTGATGTGCTCACCTGATCTACAAGCCATATCCACATCCTTCTCAAAATCGGTCTGAAAGACAGAGAACACAGAAGACATTGTCAATAGGAACTGAGAGGGAAAGACAGATACCTGGAATGCAAAAATGCTTTAACCCATTAGATAGACAAAATCTACCCAAAGAGTGAAGCTGAGGAATTTGTGCTCGCCTTAGAAACATGGAAAACAAGACTATCTATTTATTCCCAACTATGACTCTCAGGCAACGTTAAAGCTGTAACACTGCTTTGAAGCTGGATTCTTTTGCTCATCCATAAACTACTTCCACGACTGCCAAATTGAAATCTTTGCCTGAAATATTTTTATACACATTCCTAGAACACAGGGGACAGATTTCTGGCCTGTTTTGCCTTGTATTTATCTCCCCATACTTAATCTAAGCAGATTTCCCATCAGCTTCAAAGATCCAAGGATACCTTTGAAAGCCCTCTATACCTACTGTGTTTACTCATCATCAATTAGTGTGTCATAGACAGTGCAAATATGTTTCTGCACCTAAAACTCTTAGCATATAAAAATAATAGTCCTTGTAGGAGCAAACACTGCAAAAGTTTTTCAAATTGCCTACACAGTCAAATAAAACTCATCCCTTCTCCCAGTGTAAATTAGTGCTTTTCCTGAAGCTCTCCACAGGTAACATTTCAAAGAACTGGATAGTGTGTCACAAAGGGTCATGAGTTTTCATGGAGCGATGGAAAGGCCACAAGCTAACGAAAAGTAGAAGAGTTAATTGATTATTTCTGGTATCACTTGGGAATGAAGGCACTTAATGTACGTGTATTAACTGATGAAACACATTCCAGTGACATAGTAACTAAAAATACTGTTAAAAATAGCCCCCTGCAATAAACTGTTCAAAATCAGCAGGTTCAGATTCAAGAGTCTTAGGAGAGTTGGCTGAAGAATTCTCTCAAGCTTGCTATCTAATTTCGTAGTAAATTTGGGAATATTAAGGAAATATGAAAATAACAGAAGAGAAATTTAATACTGGGCTTATGCTAAAAAGAGCAAGTGGGATAAAATAGAAAACAAAATATAATCACACTTGCCTGATAGGATTTCCAGAATGACAAAACAAAACAGTTTGTACTATTCCTACTGACAAATTAATAAGGTCAAGTGTATATTTAATACCAGTCAACAAGACCATAGGAAAAACAGTTCTATCTCATTAAATTTCTTTCCATTCACTGAGTGTATATTGAGATTACTTAAAAGAGTAAAGGCAAAAATGCGGTCCTGCAAAGCCTTTGATTTTTTCGATTAGGGTATGACAGAGTCACTATAAAATAACACTGCATCTCTCCAAAAATATCAGTGAAGAGCCATCATTTGTGTTTGTTTTTGTTTGTTTGTTTTTTGCTTGCTTGCTTGCTTGGATGGGAAGAAACTGATTGTAAACTGTCTATTTTTCAACACTTCCATGAACTTCCAAAAGGAAGCTAAAAATTTGCAGTCTGTAGAGTTTTTGAAGTGGTAAATAACTAATGAAAACATAGAGCTGTACACAGAAGGACAAAAAGCTGAGAATTCAGAATGTATTGCTGGGGATGGTGGCAAGAGAGTAACAAGTGTAGTATCTATATTTTCGAGGGATACTGAAAAACTGGAAAGTATATGGGAAAGTCAGAAATAATTTGAGGGCAAATGTGTGACAGAGCTAGAATCAAAGAACTCAGTGTGTTACTTTGCCAAAAAAGGGATATGATTATGGTATCTAATATTGAAAGAAGAAAGTACTTGGCACACAAAGGACTTTCTAATTAAACATAAAAGAGCACAGTAAGAACTTAAGTATCAAAATGTGAACCCTACACATTTAATGCTGAAATGATGCACCTGTTTTTATCAATCACCTGTGAGGTGCATACACCCAAGAACTGCATGTCTGACTTAAAAGACTGTTTTTTGAAATGACATCTTTCAGCCAAGCCACTTAGCTTAGCACAGGAAGGCCTAGAAGAAATGCACTGGGTTGTGATGTAGGTGGAATTTAAGTAGATGAACTAATAACGTTTTGCAGTATTAAACTCTATTAATATTTCAGTATGAATAAGCCTGTCACATCTCTGGCAAAGAGCACTGTACAAAAGGGCAGAGGAAAATCCTAAACTGGTCTGCTTTGAAACTTGTCCAAGTCTTGCATGGAAATCCCTACACCAACCTAAGAAATCAAATGATTATTATACCATCTTCATTTGACCTTGGAGCAGATACAACTTTTTTTTTTTCCTAGGAAGGAAAGTATCTGGTCAGACTTAGTGCCAAGATGTCTGTAAAACCTAATGCTATGAGACTGAAATTTTGAGTTCCTGAATACTATAATGAAATGAAACATGATTTGTGGATGAACAAAAGAGCCTAAGGAACGCATTACATTTGCTTAGGCGTAGTTTTAAAGGAAAAATGACTGATGATTGCAAAATGTCAAACAGAGAAAGCAGTTTGTTTATCTGTTATTGGTTTAAAAAATCCCCAGATCCTTAATAATAGACTAGATGGTACTTTTTCCTACCATTAGCTGAGCATGTCCATTCTGAAATGACCCTCCAGAGTCTCCATTGCCCTCTTCTTGACGATCCACAACTCGGCACTTGACAGCATCTTGGACCTGCAGAACCAAATGGATTTGTGAAAGACAGAGTTGAAAAGAATAACATATAAAAGCAAACCATATGAAATTCTGCTAAAAAGAAAATCTTATAGTCCTTGGTGGCTTAGAACAACGAGGCTCCTGCTTCAGTAGCACTCTGTTATTCAAGTCATTCAGAGGTTACAAATCTTACACACTAATACACATTAATAGAGCAGTTCAAAGGTTTTACAGGTACCCTGCGTCATACTTGGTCACTTCCAGTATTTTGATTTATACAGTCAAGAGGGAAAACTTTTTTACTTCACTGCTTGCAATATTTTTATGATGCACGCTATTGCATAAATCCTTATATTTAGATCTAGTAAGTGTGATTACAATGCTACAATGATTTTATTAAATATCTGATCCCAAAATCACTAAAATCAATGCAAAAATCTGAGTGACTGCAGTGGGAGTTAAACACAACCCCAAATTCATAATGCAATTAGTTAAAGGAGTCTCAGCCAAACTTGTACGTAATTCCATTGATTTCATTTGTCTGACATAAAGAATAATCTATTTTACTTAATTTAAATGAACTGTAGGAAGATAAAATGAGTATTGGGAAAAAAAAAAAGCTTCCTGTCTTTGTTATTAATAGCCTATTCACTCATTAAAATGAAAAGAATAAAAGAAGCATAAAATATTCTTCATTTGCTGCCCCAATATAATTTACAACTTTAAATACCCACAGGGAGGCTGAAGAAAATTTGCTCAATATCCTGGTTGGATTATAGCTAACTTTACTTTCTAATTCTAATATCCAGATACCGGTGTCAACATATAGCCATTCTGTAAACTGACACAGTACATATTTTCCATCTCAAAATCAAATAACAAACTTGTTTTGGCTAATATTCCATTTCCAATGGGATGGAACACTTTTGAAAATACTAATTTTTGTGTTAAGTAAGCAAAAGACTGTGTGATAGAAATCTAGAAAACAAACTGAAATAAAAATGTTCCCAAAATTCCACTCTATCCAGTCTATACTACATAAAGTATGACAATCATTGACTCATCCATCCATTCATCCATCCATCCATCCATCTCACCCATCTTCCTCTGTCCGATAATGTCATGGCCATTTCTATGGTCACTGTTGACAGGCTGACTGCACATTTTTTGATGCTTGCTATAGGAAATATGTTGGCCACATATAAAAGAACCACTCATTGTGCTCACCTCTCGCCTTAGGATGCAATGGACCATCACGATGACGAAACCCTCCAGTGAGTCAAAGACAGCAAAAAGGATCTGGAAGAGTGCTGACCGCCGATCCGTGATTGCCAGGACTGCAGACATCCAGGTCAGAGCCAGGAGAGGTAGGACCACGCAGGAACTCCAAAGAGATGCCCTGTTAAGGAAGAGGAAAAGAGAATTCAACATTTGCATCATCCACTTCCATGTGGGATGCTAATTCAGCCTCCTGATCCCATGGGGCTTCAGAAGACCTTTCCTTGGTAAACGTGCACTTATACTAGATGTTTTCCAAGCCCCTCTCCCAGGGGAAGCAGGAGAATGCTTTGCACACTCACACTACCAAAGCAGGTGACACACATTTGTAAGGGAGGGACTACTAGCCATGATGCACTTATGGATAAAAATCGAGATGGGTAGGAAGGAGGTAGATACCTCACCTTCCCCTTCATGCCCTTCCCACTCTATACCCCTGCTTCACCACTGTGGTGTTTCCCAAGGGGATGGGAGACAAAACACAATCACTTTAGGTTGCCAGATGGAAGCAGAACAGCTGCAGCAGAGGCTGGTTTGTCGTGATGGTTGTCCATACTCAAGTTACAGACATTGGGACTTCTACAGCACATGGAAGACACTATCAGGTGGGAACATGTATCACGGTTCCAAATAATTAAAACAGATGAGCACAGAGCTGACGTGGAGCTTGATCTGCTCTTGCTGTTGCAAAATAGCTCCCTTTACAGCAGATGCTCCCTACAAGACTGCATCAGAGTATCCAGATATCTTGCTCAAACTATCTGTGAGCAGAAAATTCCTGCTTTCTCCTGTGATCTTCCCAGCTGAATGATTTGAAAACCTGCAATTCTTTTACCCTTTGCAAAATCGCTACAGATAAATTTATTCTTGAGGGGACATGCTGTGTTGAAACCGCTTTTTAATCCACACTGAAAAAAAACTGGACAAAATAGTCTTCGGCAATGCAAGTACTTTCACACGGACCCCCAAGTCTTTTCTATGCATAATGACTCTAGAAATGAGAAAGCAGTTCTTCTTCTGTGAATAATTCAGTCATTTAGCTCTCTCATAGAAAGGGTCCCAAGTGATTTTAATTGAATGTTATGAACATTTTAGGAAGTTGATGTAATATTAGCTATCAGTTATCCTATAGATCTGAGTGCTTTACAAATACTAAGCATTTTTTTGGTGGGGCTATGTCTAAATAACAAGAGAAGACGTGTCCAGACTAAGTAACAAGTTGAGTTTCAAGATTTTCTGCATATGAAACCTCGAACTATTTACCAACAAACACATATAAGCGACACAATAAATTATAGGACGGATATCATAACATACATTTTACAGTATTCACATGTGACTTAATTACCACTGCATGCTATAATCAAGTTTTTAATAGCGTTTACCTGCCTGTTATCCAGGTACCACCCTCACAGACCTCCCTGAGAGATTTACCTGAACAAAGCTGGATTAAAGAACAGGTTTGGACATTAGGATTTAATATCCTAACTTCAGTTCAGAGACTTTCAAGGATTCCTGCATCACTTGTGCTGTAACGACCATACACCTAAGTGATCGGTTATCTGTGTAGTCACAATGATACTTTCCCTGTAAATATTTCTGCTGACAGTTCAGATTCATATGTGTTCCTCAGTGGTATACTTAAGCAATATAATTTACCTATGGGAACGGATAAATGACATTTACTTTTCTTCAACTAAATCAAGCATTATGAGTTTTTCATGTAAGTTAAAGGCCATTACATCTACATATCTACATTTACAATCTACATATCTGGAGTTTTCATGCAGGATGATAGAATGGAAAGTTCTTTTATTTTTAAAATGCTGCTTGGAAAAAAACAAAACAACCAACCCCTAAATAAATGTTTGTGTTCCACCTCGGCCCCCCAAATCTGACTCAGCATACTGAATTAAGTGAAATTTCACATTGCTATTATGGCAGTGGGGCATTAATAAAACTTGTAGTAAGCAGAGAGAAAAGAAAACCAAAGAGGCAGAAAATTGGAAAGATGAGGCTTTCTCCACAATGTGCCATTCTAAGTATGTTTTCCATGCAAGGATCAGCAAGGCAATATGTCTGGTCTATGGCTTGGTAAAGGAAGTTATTCTAGAAGCAACCTGCAAAATTGCCTGCTGATAACAGGGAGAATAAACAGACTGTGCTAGAGAAGCTCCTATCAGACAACTCCTGTTTTCTAGAATTATGTGGTCTCCCATCATGCTCTTAATAACACAGATGTGTGCAGTAGCACCAGCAACATGAAAGACAAAATGATGAACTACACTGGAATGCATTCAGAGCTTCTGTAGCCCTTTGTCTGGACACAGTGAGTCCTTTCTAGCCTCATATTCTATGATTCTTCATATAGGCAAAGTGTTTAAATATCTTCTGAAACAAGACATCTTGATTAACTTCACTGCAGATCACATATAAGCAACCTTACTAGCAGCATTCTCACCACACTCCCACCTCGGATGATGAAAATAGCATTATGCCAGATACTTGGGTGGTGTAAATCAGAATTTTCCCAACTAAGATGTAGTGATTTACACCAGCTACAAGTATGGCCTGACTTTCTGATCTCTCTTTGTGATTCATCTCACAGGTGCTGACAACTCAATAGTATTCATCCCTTAGAAATGCTAAGGAAATGTTGGTTGACATTAAATGCATAATCTTTATTCTCAGGTAGCAGATGGCAGTGGGTCATAGGACTATAACTAATTTTACTTTCCTGGCTCTGCTTAGCTTTGGAAATATTAAATGCAAAAAAAAAAAAAAAAAAAAATCTATTAAAAAAATTGTATCAAGTCTGAAATTTGAGAAGAAAACTCAAGGGAAGATAACTGGATCTTCTGTGAAATTGCCCTTAATTCCACCTGCAATGAATTGAATCCATTGCAGACTTCATACTTCTGCCACTTTTTGGTCTCTTCCTTTTCCAAGAAGTGCAGAGTAGCTTCAGGATCTAAATAACATCACAGTGCTATGCAACGTGAAATGATGATTTGTTATCTAATGACATTGTGATTACTTAATAATTCTTCATTATGGATTGTCTGTGATCAATGAACCCAGGATTTCTATTGCTTGAGACAAAGGACTAACTGCTTTAGCTGGCAAATGAAGTAGGCATTTTTCCTTTTATCTGTTCCATACATCACAGCACTCATTAGGAATGACAGTAATGTTATAAAGGGAATAGCATTACGCTCCATTGTTGAAGCATGATGACGGATGTGTGATGTCCATGAATGTTACTCAGCAGTACAGTTGTCATGTCATGCTGTTCTTCCCCACCAGCCCGTGTTCCTGCTGCTTCGTAGGGAAATGCCATTACCTTGGGATACGGCAATGCCACACCACAACGCAACCAGGTCTGGGTTGCTACAATGGGATGTGACAACATGAAAACGCTTTGGTAACACTGCCCAAAGTTTCACCTAGTAGGACAAAAACTTCACCTTGGGATGACAGCACTTAAGAGACCCAGCTCTGGAAGCAAACAAATCAATGTTTTTGGTCAGAATGTCAAAGGCTAATTGTGGTTTTGTTCCTTAACTTCCTTTCGCTTCAGGATTCTTCATCTTTGCAAAAGAAACAGGACAAACTGATGAGACTTAGAGGTTAGTAATGGAAAGAGAAAAAAAGTTTTTTGTAGACAAAGAGCTACATAAAGAAAGTTTAAGAGGTCTGGGTCCTGACAAAGGGCAAGCAGGAGAAGGACACGCAGTACATGTCAATGAAGATGTAAAGAGCCATTATAAAGAGGTAAGTGATCAATGCCTCTCATTACTCAAGTCTGACTGGTAGCTGGTACAATAAGCTAAAGAAATAACAGAAGGAAGATTCTAACTCAGAAAGCAGCTTCTGGGGAAGAGCTGTGGAAACGGACACACAAGATGAAGGGGCTGCCCCTCACATGCTGCACAGAGGGGATGGTTCCCATTTTGGAGAGCTTTATGAAGGTGCCTGCCTCTATTTCACAGCATTTCTGCTAAAGAAAAAAACACAGTACAAGTATTTCCTTTATTCCTTCTCTTTCAATTTATTCCTTCTCTTCTATTATTCCTTAAAAACAAGAACATAAGTGTTGATGGAACCTTAGGGATAGTTTTGGAGGAACTCCCTTTAGTATTGTTTCCATATTACCAAGAAAGGAAATTTGTAACTAGAAAAATACTACTGTGCATGCAATTATCATGTATGCGGAGCAGAGAAACACAAGGCTTCCTTACTCAAGATTTTTTTTTTATCTATTTCAGTCTCAGATCAAAATTTTTCACAGGTGGCAAAGACAAATGAATTATAAAGCACAGTTAAAAGGAAAGAAAGGTGATAAAATACATCTTTTCAATGGCAAAATGTGCCCAGGAACTACTCCAGAGCAGATCACAGGGAGAGAGCATTTTTCTTAACAGCTGTCAAGCATGGCTTATATTTAACAGCAAGATACAATGCTTTCCCTTTTAGCACTTCCCTAATAAAAAAGTGGCACAATGTCCAACGTATTTTTTCTTTCCTGCCATAATTGCTATCTGCTCTTCCATTAGTGCTTTGCTTTGACTTCTCCCAGTTACACATCCCTTTCTTGGGATGTTTCTCCCTTAGGACACAGAGGTATTACCATAATGTGCTGCTCAAAACTGTTATGATTTCCAAAAGCCAAAAGAATAGGCAAAAAAAGAAGTAGGATGCATCTTATCATGCCACTCTACCCCACACATGAGACTCTGAAATCTACAGGTCTCACAGGAGGAGAGCTGGATGTGTCTTGAGTAATTCCAGCAGGAACAACACAGTAATACACTTAATGTGCTCTCTACCAAACAATGTGGCTAATTCCATGTCATGGGAGCGGTAGCAATCCTTATGGCATCTAATTTCTGCTAGAAGACTTCAAAATTAAATGGTAAAGCTGGCCCAAAGTCTAGGATCAATGCCAGAGGAATGGCAGTAGTGACGTGTAGCATAGTCAGGGTTTTATCTTATTGACAATCTCATTTACAATAGATTTGGAGGAATAATAATAATAAAAAATAAACAGTTCAGCTGCAGAATGAAGTGGCTGACAAGGGTCAGATCAGGACAAGACTGGGTAATCTAATTTATCTCAGC